CTCCTGCTCACCAGCCAGTAACATCGGCCACCACCACCTCCTGCTCACCAGCCAGTAACATCGGCCACCACCACCTCCTGCTCACCAGCCAGTAACATCGGCCACCACCACCTCCTGCTCACCAGCCAGTAACATCGGCCACCACCACCTCCTGCTCACCAGCCAGTAACATCGGCCACCACCACCTCCTGCTCACCATCACTTCACCAGCCAGTAACATCGGCCACCACCTCCTGCTCACCAGCCAGTAACATCGGCCACATTTTTCTTTGCCTTGCCACTCAACAAGAGCAGGTACAACCTCTTATAAAAGTTGTGTAGTCACTATTGCCCTGTTTAATAAGAGAAGCCCCATGATATATCACTACATAATTTCATAAATTTAGTACCTTAAATTACTTGTGTACTTTAAAAAAATAATAAATAAATAAAAACATTACCTGCCACTTCTCCAGGTAAAAACAAATGTGTAATTGTAGCAACTGTTCTGTACTCATTAACAGTGTAAAAAAATGTATTGCAAGAATCTTCAGTCAACCTCATTCCTTTGCTAGGTAAATATTTCATTTTCTATTTATTTAGTATTTTGGTCAATATTCTTATTAATTGTGGCCAAGTATTAAGTAGCATTAATAGATCACCTACACACATTTTATAACAGACATTATATTTGTTTCATTTAACAGAAGCAGAGAAAAGCTTGTCCTAACCTAGCCTACTTTGTGACACTGTGGTCTAACTTGTCGTAAGTTTGAGTTTTTGTTACCCTTTTCAGACAGGATTGTAAGTTATATTATTTGTAGGGCTTCCCTCGACTAAAGATTTTTCTGGTCGACTAGTAGTTGTTAATTTTAAGCATTAGTCGACTATTAGTCACATGTTTATTAATAAACCATATAAATCATAATAATGAGCCTTTAATTGCATAAAGCGCTCAAGCGCACACACCAAAAAAAAAAAGGGTTGCCACAGCGTACTGGCAGAGATAATAATTATGAATGTGTCTGGGAAAAACAGCAAAAGAGACTGCATTAACATTTTAATAATTAACATAAACTAACTCTTCTTAATGACCTGCAACAGCATCTTTCAGATTTTTAGCACATTGACCTTGACTGTCATTGACTCATCTTTCCAGCTTGGGAAAAGTAAGTTTTAACAATATATTTTCAATGTTCTGTAATAAAGATTTGAAAAACATATATCATAAATCTTAATTTAAATTGAATAACAAGCTATAAAAAAAATCCTAAAGTCTACTGCAGTTAACGCTTAAATGAACTATTAATGACTAATCATCTGATTTCTTTTTCTTGCGAACTAAATAACTATTTAACAGTGAATGATAGAAACATCATTGGTTAGGCAACACTTCTTGCATATTTTCTCCCTAGCAAAACATGAATGTATGTGCCAAAGTAGAGTTTACTTTCTCTAAAAAGGCCTTAATAGTTCGATTTTTTGGTGCGTATTCCACCTCCAAATTAGTCTATGATAAATAAATCTCCCGGCTTCAGACCATTAACTTAGCTAATTAATGCTCTTGTCATTTAAGTCACTAAAAAACTAGTGAACTTGAAAACGCGGTGCTCAGAAAGTATCCGAACGCTATTTATTTTTGGGAGAATTGTGAAATCTTGATCAAGTGAAATCCGCCAAAGATATCATTGACAGTTATTGTATTAATTGCAGTGAATCTGTATATTAATTCACCTCACTCGGAACGAGTTATAGTAACAGCCGTAGCCCGGAAGTTCTAACAAACCTTTTCCGGGGTAACTTTCAGTCCGCCAGCGCCATTTTGAGCTGTTTGTAAACAAATAGCCAAGCATGAGCTATTAGCATTGAAGGCTAGTGGTTAGCACGTAGCATTTTGTGGTCTCAAAGGCAAAATGTGTTGCAGTGTGTGAAGTGTTGAAGTGACTTGTTTAGTTACATCTGAACTTTATCCTTCGCTATTTCATACGGATTTCATCCTATTTTTCTTTCCTCACCTCCCTTTGAAAAGAACAGACAGATGCAAACTTAATAGACCTTTTCCCCTCAGAGTGTTACTATATCAGTTTAAACTGCTACCATTGTGTTGTTATTAACAATTAATCCTGGCCAGCCTAGGCCGAATTACTTTAATGCTACGTTGTGATTAATTCAGCTATAACTGCGCTTATAATTTGAGGGACACCAGTAGATATGATTAATTTGCTATACTTGAGGATTGGAAATCGTTAATTTAACATCGTAATTAACTACAGATTTTAATTTTTAATTTAATTTCACAAATTAATTACAGTTCCGTCTTTCACATAGTAACAATACTTATTGATGAAGTTGAATTATAATTGCTATTACAATTTAATGACACTAGCATTAAAATTTTACTCATTTACTATCAATATTGCTCTAAAATTTTAATTTCAGTAAATAGTTAAATAGGGTTGGGTTCCCTATTCAATGATACAGTTAACTAATTTAATTATAATTGCTCTTATCAATTGTTAATAATGACACCAGTGGATATTGTTGGTTTATCCGTAGGGATTTGAAATTAAGTTAATTTCATAATTAATTACAGATTTGGAATTTTAATCTCATTTCAAATTAATTTCAGTTCCTGCTTCCACATGGCAACGATATTTACTGATGAATTTAATTATAGGTGCTATTATGGTTTAAGGACAACAACATTAAAAGTTTAATCTTTAAGGATAACAAGTTACTAATACTGATTTCATAATTAATTACATTAATTTTTAATAATAATAATAATAATAAAATAATCATAATTTAATTTCATTTAATAATTAATTACGGGTCCTGTTTCCATATTG